CTAAAATTGCATTGGCCTTTTTTGCTGCCGCATCGCACTGTTGACTCCATGACTGAGTCAATCCACTTGTAATGCAGTCATCCTCTTTTTCTACTTTTCTGAGCATTATTATCTTTTCCAGTCATTGGATGGTTATCTCTATGGCTATTGTTGTTGCATGCCTTCAAACCATTTCCAACTTATGGTGACACTAAGGCAAACCTGTCTGGGATTTCTTTGACAAGATTTGTTCAGAGGATGTTTGCCATTGCTCTCTTTTGAGGCTGAGAGCATTTGCCTAGCCCAAAGTCAGTTTCCACGGCCAAACAGGGATTCGAACCCTGTTCTCCAGAGTTGTAGTCCAGTGCTTAAGCCACTACATCAGACTGGCTCTCTCCAAAGTATTTTAATTTCAGGTTTATCATTTTGGCTTCTACTGAGAGTTTAGGCTTGATTTGCTCTGGGACTCAGTTATTTGTCTTTTAGGCAGTGCATGATATTTGGCAGAACACTTTGCGAGCAACATATTTCAGATCAGGGAATTTTCTTCCTCTTGGCATTTTTCACTGTCCAGCTTTGATGCTGGAAATACAATGGCATAGATGATCCTGACTTTGGTATTGAATGATGAACCTTTGCACTTGAGGATCAAATCTCATACCTTCACAGCTGCCCTTCCTAGTGTTTTACTTTCTTGACTACAGGGACTGCTTTGATTAATGAATGACTGGCCCAAGGTATACACATTTCTTTAACAATTGCAGTGGGTTCATCAATCACTTTAAAGCTACTTAAATCTTTGGTAGTCATTATTTTTGTCATTTTACCAGATGACAAATAAGGGGATTTAATTTTTGGAGGAATGTGGTTCTAAACAGTTTGTAATTCAGCTAATTTGTGACTCCTTTGGACTTTCCTGATTCATACTTTAATGTTTGGAGTGTCCAAAGCTGCATCTGCACTGCAGAAATAGTGCAGTTTGACACCGCTTTAACTGCCAAGGCTCAATGTGATGGAATTCTGGGATTTGTCATTTGTCAGCTATTTAGCCTTGTCTGTCTTAGAGCTCTGGTGCCACAACAAACAACAAATCCCAGGATTCCATAGCATTGAGCCATGACAGTTAAAGTACAGTGGGCTCTCGTCATCCGCAGGCTTGCCATCCGTGGATTTGAGCTTCCGCAGATGCCAAACACCACTGCCATGGGAAACAATGGGATTTGAGGTCCCACTTTTTTTCAGCCATGGAGAGATCCAGAACGGATCCCCCACAAATACAAAGGGACAACTGTATTATGTCAAACTGCATTATTTCTGCAGTACAAACACAACCTGAGAATTTACTGTAGTGTACCTTGGATTGTATACCTGGGATGCTTAGGATGTGAACCAAGAAATGCTGGTTAATATTTTCCTTATCTAGATGGCTATCCAAACCACTTAGACTTGCCCATCCCTTTCATAACATGGGGATAATCTTATGTACCAAGTTCATTGGGCAATTGTGATGATTCCTGAGACAGCCTAGCAAAAGTGCTCCAAACTGTTGACCATTTTGAGGATCAAAACCTGGACTTATCTGTTGCAGATTTCCCAATTTCATTGGTTGAGGAATGCATACTTTTTGGATGGGAAGCCAGCTTAAATATGGATATGATGAGCATGCTTCTTTGCACTTTTACAGTATAACTCTTACTCTTCTTCTCTCTTATGCACCCAAACATACACCCAATTCAGATATTCAAACTATCTGAAAGACTGTGCTGGCTGCCACCCTGCAGAATTAATGCGATCTGATGCTGCTTTAGTTGTCGTGGCTCCATCCTGTGAAATTATGGGATTTATAGTTTGTTGTGGCATCGGAGCTCTCTGACAGAGAAAGCTAAATATCTTGCAAAATGACAAACCCCAGATTTCCATACCATTGAGCCATGTTAGTTAGAGCGGTTTCAAACTGCATTAATTCTGCAGTGTAGATGCATTCTGTATCTCTCAGTATGGGCCTGCCCAAGTTTTAAGATCCTTGATGGAGGGCTTTCTCTTGTTTCCATCCCATTCTCAGAGACATTTGGTGAGGGTCTTCTTGGTGGCTGCTCCCATGCTATGGAATTTCCTTCCCTGGGTTGCCAGGCTGACCTTCTCTCTTCTCTCTTTTCACTGACAGGCAAAGAACTTTATTTTATGTTGTTTTATTTTACACAAGCCTTTGTCTGTAAATTGGCTGTGGCAGAAGGATCATTTAATGAGGTGTGCTGTATTTAAATCTTTTTACAATGTTTTAAATGTGTGTTAAAAAGTTTAATTAGCAGTTTTAATAGGATCCTTATTCTTTTGACACTTTTGTATTATGAAATGTCTTAACTGCCTTTGGTTTTGACCTGAGCTGTTAAGTTACCTTGTTTTCCATACTGGAAAAAAGGTAGAATGACGGATTAGATGGATAGATAGATAGATAGATAGACAGACAGACACTGACTGACTGACATGCTACCATATGTCACTTGAAACAAAACCATCCATTAAAATGGAAGTTAATCTATAGGTGAAACATCTATGGCATTTCTTTAAAAAAATAAAAGAATTATTTTATTTTTAATACAACTAGAGCTAGGTTTTGGATTTTTAAATTATTATTAGGAGGGTGTCTGAAGACTCCTGGTAAACAGTGAATTTTGCCTGACAGTCAATTTCTCTTTGAACTTGTAGGTTCCTCTTGCAGAAACACCCCTGGAATTTCCAGAAGGGTAGAACAATGTTTGAATATGACTGGCGACATTGTTCATTTGATTTCCCATTGCACATTGTATGTAGATTGAGATGGGCATGCAGTTAGTGACTTACACAGGCACAGGTCCACTTTATGCCAGTGGAGGGACTCTGTCATGCCAGGCTGCTGTCTTACCACAATCGCACAGGCTTAAGAATGGAAGTATACCAGCCTGGCACTATTTCTTATCATACCTTTTTCTGTGATAGAACTTTGGCAATCCATGGTTGCGTGATCTGTTTTCTGCACTACCAAATGCCACTTTCTGGGAGGAAGCGTGGGAATGAGCGATTGCGGCTGCCAACTGCCTCCCAAAGCCAGCTGCTGTGTGAGCGTGCACACAGCAGCTGGCATCGGGAAGATGTTGGCAGCCATGATTACTTCTTCCCTCCCCCCCCCCCAAAAAAAGCATGGGGCAGTTGTGTGCACATTCACACAGTAGCTCCACGCTTTGGGCGGAGGGGGCAGACAAATGATCGGAGGTGCCAATCACTAACTGAAGCCAGCTGCTGTGTGAATGTGCACATAGCAGCCAGCTTTGGGAAGCTGTTGATGGCCATGATCATTGCAAGGAAGAGGAGAGAAAAGAGGGAAAGGAGCAGAATCATGCCCATTCATACCATGTCACTGCCTAAGAAGCAGAGCTGCAGTATTGCACAAAGGCAGTCATGGAATAGCAGTAAGATTGAGAGCCTATTGATGGGTTTTGCCCATCAATGAAAAGATGCACTGCAGTAACAAATAGAATGCAAGGCAGTAGCAGGACAGACACGACATCTTTTATCCGATTAAAATTCCTCTTTTCATAGCCTCATGTGATAAAGTCCTATGTCTTTTTGTGTGTGTGTCATTGTGGGGGTAACTAATTTCTTTTATGATCTGCAACAACTAAAGTGCCTCCCCCAGGATCCTCAGTTTAGCCACTGCAGCCATTCAGTGACGGCTGGAAAGCAAAGAGGTTTTAAAAAGTGCCTGGCTGTGTCTCTGTAGCCAGGCACAGACTGATGACCTGCTGTGATCTCTCAAAGCCTCTGGAGAATATCAGCCAACTATGTCACCTCATCTGTGTCTGGAGACATAGGGCCTCGGCAGACGGCTAATAGAGCCATCTCCAAGGCAAGGAAGAGGAGGGGCAGCTGCACGCTCGGTGCCCCTTCCTCCTCCCAAGGTTGCCCTCAGAGCAGCCGGCCCTCCGCACGGCCGGCGCTCCCAGGGCAACCTCCTGCCGCAACGTCCGCACACGCTGCGGCGGAAAAGTCAGTGAAAGTGTGCCCTACGCTTTTGGGGCGCACTTTCACTGACTTCTGAAAGGAGCGCTGATTTAGCGCTCCTTTCAGGGGCGTCGACGGTGCGCTGCGGTGAGGATGTCTCGCTCCCGCGGCACACCGTCCCGCAGCGTCCCAGACGCCCTCATCTGTTTCCCTCCATTGCCAGACTTGTCTCTGACCTAGTCAGTCCAGGGGAGTTTAATGGAGAGATGTAACATACATTCTGCCTGAGAAACTATGGGGGGAAGCAGACGAGGGCGTCCGGGACGCCGTGGGACGGTGCAGGCATTTGGATTTTTCTGAAGGACAGGCACAGATTGTCCTGGCCTGAGAGACACTAGTTAATAATAATAATAATAATAATAATAATAATACCCCGCCTCTCTGTAGATACAACTGAAGTGGCTTACAGGATAAAACGAACAACCCCATCTCCCAATAGCCCCCCCTAAAATACTATTAAACAATCAAAATTTAAAAACATACTTAAAAATAACAAACTGCAAAAAACGCAATAAATAACAAATAAATTAAAATAGCCGTAGCGGAAATCAGGGACAGGCATAACTATTTTCGGAGGCTGGTTATCTACTCAGGAAAGGCCTGCCAGAAGAGATCCATCTTAACAGCTTTTTTGAAGCTGTTTAAGGTGGTCAAGTAACGGATATCAATATCCCACATTGTGTTTCTATAGTGCAGGGGTAGGCAACCTTTCCCCTTTAAGGGCCGAGGGACTTCAGCTCCCAGAATCCCAGGAGCTATTGGCCAACATGGGACTATTGGCCAACATGGCTAAGGCTTCTGGGAGCTGAAGTCCCTCGGCCCTTAAAGGGGAAAGGTTGCCTACCCCTGCTGTAGTGCAAATCCATTTCCACAAGGCTGAGTCTCCCTTTTTCCAGAATTCTGATATTTGAAATATTCCAAAAAAACAAAACTTTCTTTTTCATGGATAAGATAGTGACACTGTTGCTTTCTGATGGTTCAGTGTACACAGACTTTATTTCATGCACAAAATTATTTAAAATATTGTATAAGATTACCTTTAGACTGTGTATAAGTTATATAGAAACATAAAATCATGTTTGCACTTGGGTCCCATCTCCAAGATATCTCATCATGTGTATGCAAATATCCCAAAATCTGGGAGTCAGGGGGAAGAATCAGAAATCCAAATCACTTCTGGTCCCAAGTTATTTCGGATAAGGGACACCCAACCTGTAATGTACTGGTTGCACTACATCACCCGTCTGCTAAACTGTGTGAATTGAGTGTGTATCTGGGAGTATGATAGCTGTTTCCATAATCCCAGTGAATTCTGTGGTAGACTGAAGACACTAAGGAATTTGCATGTACAAG